CCATGAATAAACGCACCTTACCGCTAGACAATCGTGTCTGAAATGACTGTTACATAGCGCATTCTATAAAAATGACATTGAATATAAGATTTTGCAGGATACTCCTGGCGTGAGCAATATTTCTACCGCGGGTTATTTTTTTATTTTGAGGCGGTACATACAGATCGAATTTGTTTGGATTCATTTGCATTTCATACTCATATGAAAAATATTGTATATCGATTCATCAATTTGAGAACAGACATCCGTTTGACGTTTTCAAATCTTTAAGGAAGGGCGGAAGTGACGGTGAAAACGATTAATAATACCAGCTACAATCAATCAATCTGGTTTTTTTTATTTTCTGTTTGTGTTTGCATTATTCTTAGAATGCTTTCTATTTTCTTACTTTTTTTTCTTTTCTGTTGATAKCTTTTCACTACAGCTTTTTTTACATTATTTTCCTTTCGCTTTCTTGTCGATTCTTTCGCGGGGTGTTTCGTTTTCTCATCGTTCTCACGACAATCGACGATTAATTATTCTTATTATGTCTASGCACCGTACTTACATATCTATCGTACTGAGATCTCGTCCACGGCACTGCGATACCGATGCGTATTCGTGACGTTTTTGTATTATTCTCCGTTAGGGGGATTAAAAAACGCTTCAAAAACGGCACGGAGATACCCCGGGTGTAGTGGACAATGCCTCTACATTGTTTTACGGTGAAATTGCCGCTATTTTTATTCAAGTRGAGCTAAACTTATGGCTGGCTGCTATCGCGTCCGATATTTTTTGTTCAAGTGAGGATAATCTGATAGCTGACTTTGACAAGTTAGAACTCCTTTTAGCGTCAACCAGTCTATAGGGTTACCCTAAATGTCTAAATAATTAATTKTTTGTCTAAGGAATAGAATTCTTAAAGAAGAGATTTATTCACTGACGAGAAATCGCATAGGAAAATATGACAAGACTGTTATCACAATATGGCAAATGAAATCCTCACTTGACTTTGTACTTAAAAAGAAAGATMAAAAATAGAACGCATAAGAAACTAAAAACAACAACTTATGCACAATACAATGCTTTTGTTTTATRAAAATATTTGTAAGTATTTCCACATGTTTCCAGGATTGCTGACAATATGGCAGAGGATACGGATGAAAAAACAATGGAAAAACTTAGTATTTATTTTCGATAATTTTAAGTGATCTTTATGTTATATGTACTACAATGGTATCTGATAATGTATTCAATATAGAAAGTTTATTGTTACTTTTCAGTTASACACGCTGTATAAAACCGATCTTTCAGCGATTATTAACCGCAAAGACATTTACATAGAGCTGCGAGCATTGCAACTCAGCTGGCAATGTCATTGTTTGCAATTCGCCTGCAAAAAAAAATGGTACAAAACAAAAGTTCCAAACCAAATGCAGATGGTTTATTGTCCAAACAACGAACCTCACTTGTGCCGAGATCAATACAGAAATGCAATGATAATGGAATCATTTTTTCATAACATTTATTTTTCTGTCCTGTTTTCTTTCTTCCTCTTTTTTATTTCCTATTTTTTGTTTATATTTATTTATTTATGTATCATATATTTATTGATGCGTGTTCTTATCGGTAATTATGTATTTATTTATTCAACTATCACTGTAGACTGTCTGCCTCGTCTGCATATGTGTCATCGATTAATTTAGACAATTTCATGCATTTCTCTGATATTTCTTTAATGTTTGCAATTTAACAAGGATATTTTCAATTACTTTTAAGATAAAATGAAAAAACTGAAATAAATTTATAACTGATAGATTGATCACTGTCCTTGCATTTAAAAAAATGTCATTGAACTGTATTTCTACTCATTTGGATCCATTTCATCTAAATTCTAAAGGTTTTAAATTCGCATTATAAACTGTAATTGCACTTGCTACTGCATGCACAATTTAAGATCAAATTGTGTTTCAGAACTTGCTAGCGAAACCACGATCACTGACGACGGGCTGTCTGCATAAGTGACCGGTCATGAATTATCAATAAATCGTGGAAAGACTTGCAGAACCAAATCAACTTTATATGCACTCGCCCGACAACAAACACAKAGAATAAAAACAGTCGTTAATTACAGTAAATTGATTGCCATTGCTAAATTTRCATTTCAAATTCGCGTTGTTTTCTGTATGTAATCAAGTATGAGAAATATCTAGAACTTTACACTGAAGATAACAAGCTCRGTGTTAACATTTTTGGACGATTAACTAATAGGTTGATATTGCAAATATTTTGGGATGTTTTACACAGATGTCAATAAAGATTTTGCAATTTAGAACGCCGGGCTTGGAAACCCAAGGGATATGAATATAATACATCATACACCGCGCCGTGCTGGGAAAACCCATGATTTTTGATTCGCCACATACCACAAAAATGCCACATACTCAATGAAATACTCTTCACAAAACAACTTGTAGATAAACAACACAAAACTACTTCTAGCGATGTCCTTTATTCATTTATGAACATCAATTCGTCCAATTCTGGACCAAATAAACATATTTACAACCTAATCCTCATATATGCAACAAAATTTTACATGCCTAGCATTTTAATTTCTTTCAATTTTTTCATACCAAAAAAAGGATTCTTCATCGTGATATAGATACAATTTCTTCGAGAATCAAGTTCGTTTCAGCATTTAATATTCTTAGCTGTGTCTTGATTTCAACGTTGATATATTCTAAAGATCAGTGATTCGTTCTGATCGGTCGTTCGATTGATAGTTATAAACCTAGCTAACTTAATAATGTCGCTTCATGTGTAGGGACAAATGATCTGATCTAGAGAAGCTTCGATCGCATGTTGGGCATTTAAATGGCTTTACGCCTGTATGTTTGCGATAGTGCCTTGTTAACTCGTCCGATCTCGCAAACCTCCAAGCACAGTCTTTCCAATTACATTGGTATGGCTTCTCTCCAGTGTGAGTACGCTGGTGCGCCTTCAGATGCGAGCTCTTCGTGTAGGATTTGTTACATCCTTCATAAGTACATTTATGTGTTCTGGCGAGAGCCCGTTTTGCCTTTGGAGACTGACTCGGAGAGACATTCAGTTCCTTATTAGCATTTGAATTTGTGTTGCTTTTTGATGTATTCATATTTGCTTTCGCTGAAACGGACGTCGTWGACTCGGTTATTTTAGATTTAGCACTAGTTGTCTTTATCGAAGGCTCTGATTTTACAATCGTAGGTGTGCTTGTTGTAATAACTTCATCCTCTGTCTGCGTGCTCTCGGAAGACTTTTGCACGGTTTTGAAGTCTTCAATAACAGTAGTCATTTCAACGTCCTCCATTTCACAAGCATGTCTCGTTCCTCCCGAATGCTCCGTCGACCATTTCTCCGAAGACAAGACTTCGCCGTTCGTAACTTGCAATTGTAGCGGKATTTCAGCGTAMGGAAAATCGCAAAACAACGCGGAATCTTTGTACTTTTCATCGGCAGCAGGTTCAACGCTATAGAGAAAGCTATCCCCATATGACAACTCAAAGTCTGAATCGAGTGAGCTTTCAGAGTCGAAAATGCTACTTTCCTCCAACGGCAAGGGCTCCCACTTCGTGCTGAAGCTYTCAACGTCGAACCACAGCTACAAAAATAAAAAAATACAGGTTAAGGATTTTTCTTTAGGTAAAAACACATTTCGTTTTTTAGTAAGTGTACATTCTTGTGAAATTCACGAGTAATCATGGTCGATAGCAGCTGGTTTGTCACGTTACACATTTACTCGATTTGTTTCAAACTTACTTTCCTGAAATGTTCCTCGGTGTCCATGATGGTGTCTTTGGGTTTAAAAATATCTAATGTTACCGTGGACAGCAGCGGATCTACAACAGTCGACATTTTGAGYAGAGAATGCACGTTGGTTTCATGTCTCGCTTAGTTGCACAGCACAATCGGTTTGACCTGGTCGATGATATTCTGGGATTTTACAGACTGCTGATTGGCTTAAAATACAATGGCAAATGTCRTAGGATCCKAAAAGCTTTTCGATCCTWATATGGATGAGATAAAAATAGAAACACGTGGAAGTGGTATAAAAACGGGGCAAACTCCAGACTCCTCAGTTATTCRTTGCTGTGCGCGGTCGAGTTAGGTCATCAGGACGCGGGAAAAACAACCTGGTCATCGCTAAAAAAAGACCATTGTCAATTTATCAATACTGGACGAATTTCAAAGATCTTTCTACTAAAATCCAAAGTCTGCTTTTYGAACAAAATAACATTTTAGATTTTCAATAGAAAAGGGTGGTATATTTTTAATCGATTTTTTTACGCGCGCTTTTCAGCATACTCTTATTTCTATGGCAAAAATATCTGAAATTGTACGCGTAATTTACAAGCTTGTACCATTACACCACACACATGGTTATTGTGAAATCAGACTATACTGTTTTTTTTATTTTCCGCCAAGGAAAATTCCGTAGAATTAAGAAAGTTAAATTATTTTTCATTTAATTCGTATCAAAAATACTGAGAATATTAAAGTCTGAGCAGCTGTCATGGCTGTATTTACGAAAACATAATATCTCCTCGTTAAAATCAAGATTGTTTACAAACAAGAAATATTCTACTGTCAAGATAATGGCTGCAGCGAATGGTCCATYTCATCCTTCCTGTATAAAATGCCCATATTTAGGAAAAATTGTGATTTTTTCAGYACAAGTTATCAYACGATAAGTTCCTGATTGATCAGCACGACTCTTTTGGCGACTATCTATTAATGATTCAGGTTTGTATATGGCCAAAGTCCCTTATTCAAGTGATCAGCTTTTCATCAAGGTTTTTTTGAATCAACAGCTTTATTTACATAAAACTTGAGACGCAACATAAATTAGTTTAAAGCTTGTGTTCTGTGGAAGAAATAATGCATTAAAAACAACCTCTTGACTGAAAAACATCCCAAGGAGAGCGAGGGCGCTCATCATGTATTCAAAGCCAAGTCGAGACAGATCTAATCCACAATAAATAAATTTGTATTCGGCGTCTAATATTCTAATATGTGTTCTAGWCCAATCAATGGCTGTTCCTGTAAATGCAAGTTAAGCCAATGTGTAATTTGGATCAGAGAGAGMCATCTAATAAGAGCACCACTTCGGCGCTCTATAACTTATGTCGATATCCGCGAAAAAACATTCTTATACACAGACTTTAGCAAAAGGCTCACCAATTAGGTCTGTTTACTTCAAGTCTAATAAATGATTTCAAAAGGTTTTCAAACCATAAAAGACTTAATGAAGTGCCCCRCTGACGAGTCGACGAATGTTTTTGTCACCGCTGATGGAACTGACGGCGTGTTTTTGCCCGAAGCAATATCTTTTCACCGCTGGGGGGAGGGGGTGCYGAGGGCGAAAGTTCCGCTCTAAAGTTCTAAATAAACAGCGATCTCGTCCAACATATGGTAATTTGCATTTTCTCTAAGTAGTTTATTTAGGGTTTTAGGTTCTTGAGACTGGAAATTATCTAGAAGTTGGGATATAAAAGCGCTCTTAGTGACGTCATTTTCTTTCGTTTTTCTCAGTAAGCTGCGCGAATCTTGTGATTCTTAGGACGTTTATCAACTGATWTGCATTACAATAGAAAACCATTTTGTTTTTATACCTTTCTTTTTCTAGATTTAGAACGTGTTCTGTGCCTATGTGCTGTTTTAACMAGTCGAAACAAGAAAATCAAAATAGTTTTGAATATAAACACGTGCTGTCAAATGTTGATCAACGTGATAGAAAAGTGTGAAAGAAAGCGGAACTCATTTAAGACGAGCATGAAAACTACCGCATAGGCATAATCATTGTTACACATTAGACTTTGAAAACATTGATATAAAAGATTATTGTTGGTGACAGAGATGAATAAATCGATGTTTGTCACGGACCACAGTGTATTTCCAGGTCAGGACATAATTGGCTGAGGTTTTGCTCGTGAAATGTGGACTGTGAATACAGCCAATCAGAAACCGTGAAAACCGCAATCGGTCCGCGTGGATTGAAATGGCTTCAGCGTTCTTTTCCAAAGATAACAAAAACAAATTCAACTTAACCTTTTGAAAAAATAACTTTTTTGTGTGAAATTGCTCCGTSAAGGGGAACAGAAYGTGTCAACAGTGTTCACGCTACGCCAAACCTTTAAGATGAACGCGTCCCAAGAACAGTCTCGAAATGTCATGAGTTTAATTTTCATAATAACAAGGAATAAAAAAAACACACTAAATTCAATTAGTAGAAGTTTTTCAATTATCAACAGATGTTTGAGTCTTTTGTGTGATTTCGGTTCAACGGTCCGTTTTTTCATTTTCGTTTCTTAGATTCACTTCACTTGTAGTTTCGTTCCCACGGTCTCGCCGTAACAAACCTCTCCACAGTAATAATTTCTTCATTTCCATTCATTTAAGACAGTGGGTTGTTGAGACAGCTTCATAAAAAGGTCACCAAGCCTGTTTCCAGGTCAGCCTTTTTTTACAGACACATAACAAATACAATGTTGGACTTTTACCAGAAAGKGTATTGATTGGCCGCTTTATTGATCATCACTCTCGCCAATATAAGCCGTTAAACCAACACTRTCAAAGACGCTTCTCACAATTTGGCGTGACTCCTTAGTCTTGCTAATGAAGTGATGTTTTCGACTGTTTCCACCTGCCATTGAGGAGTTCAACACTCTATTTCCAAAACATAGGCTTAAATTATATTATGTGGCTAATAATATCAATACAATACTATTAATAGTAATTAGTAATCATTTTGTATTGGCTGTAAAAAGTAATTAATAAACAGTGACTCATTTTGTACACAAAGCGTGATAGTAGTTGTACTCTTAGGTCATCAACGGATTAGGCGGACCGTTTTTTATGGACATTAAAAGGTAATCTACAGCTGCCATCAAGATTTGCTGGACAAAATTGTTGCACATTACTTGCTCATTTAACGGAATCTTACAACGATGGCACGACAAACATAAAAAGTCTACAATGTAGAAGGATTTTGGTGCGCAAAGTGATATGGGATAGGAGTCATCACCCAGGAAGGTTACTATCATCTGCATTGACGTCATGGTTGACGTCATAGCAGCCAAGCCTTTGTTGTATTATACTAATTAGCACGTGTTGCTGTTTGTTTATAAACCGCATTTTTCAGCAGAAMCAAACCGGACAAACTCCTGTATTATTGTGAAATCCAAATGGAATTTTCGAGCAAATCTGGAAAGCCGCGATCTTGGAAAACCACAGTAAACCCAACCAGAGATTCTAAAATCATCCCTATAAATGGGTCATTATTATATTATGCATGCCGCAGGGGTTACCTAATATATCATCTTATTGAAAATAACTACACCACAACTTGTTTACTTAAAATGTGTTTAATGAATATAGTTAAGATAAGCTATAATGACGGAAAATAACTGTCGAAGTCCCTGAAAGCTTCGGGGGTTGACGCCTCGGGATTTGCAAGCCTTTGGGGCCCTATTATTAATATCAATTTATAATACCGCTGGTGGTAATGTCAAGTACATTGGTTAAATAGGCCTACTGAGTTATTGTTGRTAGTAAGAATAGTCCTTACAGCGTCGTAAGATTGACGGACGTTACGTTGAGATGTTTTACGTTTCAAGTCCCTATTTTTTTGTCATCCTTATTTAAGCTATCGGTGTTTTTAATTAAAAGAATTATGAAATACGTTTGAATATTATGAATAAAATATTTTCTTCTTAAAAACGGACTGCTTAGTAAACAATGAAATAATTGAAAAATTTCGATTGTATTATTTTAATTCAAAAATTCCTGATAAAATAGATTATTCCCTGCGTTGATAATGCGTTTTTAAGTATCYCGAYACAGTTTCATGTGCGTTTTAGTGACAATTCGGACATACATTGAGGGAAACGTACTAAGAAGTCATAAAGAAGTCATGCATTTTAATATGGGAAACGATTCGTTCCCAAGGCTTGCTTGTGATGAACGTGATCCATGCATGGTTCGTTGGCCGAGGTTAACAGGCGGTCAAGAGTCTAAAGTAGTTATTGACATCCAAACAAAAGTGCTTTCTGTTTCAAATTACATGAATACAATAGATAGGGTTGTTTACTGATAGATAATGGACTTTAATCCAGCCAATCAGGTAACTGCACGATTTCTACTAGATTGCTGAGCCATTACTTGCAAATGTACATCTTTACGCATTGCAGCATGCTATCCTAGATATTCCAGAAGACATTGAAAATTAGGCCACAAAATTGAACTTTATTMTTTTGAAAGTTACTAATAGTAATAATRATGATAATAATAATAAAGTRGTCACTCCATAAAATTCACMATAAGAAGACAGCCTATGCAATGTAAATGAAATCCCAACATGAGTAAAGTAGGTATCATTTTAAGTTCTTSRGAGGTAAAAACGTATCGTAAAGCAGTTTCTCCACCGYTCGAAATACGCTCTTCTCATAATGTACAGGATCACTTCTCGACAATGTTCCTTCAGGATACGCGTCGCTCATTGGATAGACATCTATGACGTCAATACCAGCCTTGCACATTGCTGACGTAGCAAATGCGTTGTATAGCAAAAGGCGCGGGAAAGTTAAAAATCTACGCGAGTCTCGATGTGGATTGGGCCACCTGTCTCTATTGATGGCTGTTGTTGTTTTCCATAATAACTGCCCTTTGAATTTCTTAAATTCGCCGGTTTTCGGATCAGTTTCGCCGTTTTTGACTATGTGKATAAATTCCGTAATAAGACGACGGTAATCCTTGAAGCTGACGGCTGCGGCAAAATGTATTCCCCAGTTTAGCAGTAATACGCTGTTTTTATCCATCGCAGGCTCATATAGCACCTGTAACAATGTCAAAACCGCTGGTCAAAATAAGAGAAATTCTAGTAGAATTGTTAACATCTGCTTACCTTTCTTACGTCATTTAACACTCGATTGTGATCAAAATCCTTCCCATCAGGCAGAGGTTCTATATGGTCCTCGCCCCAGTATCCCTCCATATTGTAGATCCAGTGATAAGCTCTTCGACAGCGAGAAAAAGCGGTGGMACACATGCCCATATATGGTCCGTTGAGTAATCCTTCTTGGAAATGATTGGCTACTGAGTCACCATAGATGATAAGGSTGCCTTTGCCATTGGTTTGTCTAGTTCGGATTTTATCTGAGACATAAATAAACCTTTTTTTGAGCTTACTTTACACGCTCCAAAGAGTTCGCACACACAGCTCGGTGTATTTCAAGCCACATTAATTCTTGTTTAATTTTTTGGGTCTTGAAGTGGGGACACGGAAAGAGGCACATCCAATAAAAGTCAAAAAGTACCAAGAGYACGCACTTACCTTGAATGTATGGCTTCCAAGTATGCCCAACCCATCGGCCCAGTCCATCCCAGAATAATGAAGGACACGAACAGTTGGCATTATTTGGAAATGGTTTAAACCCGGTTTCATCTTGTTTGACTTGAAATGAAATCAGCGCATCATGAGGTCGAAACTTATGAATTAAGAACGACTTGTCATGATCAAGAATTCCATCGGGGTGGTTCTTTCCTTGTGGATTYCCTGTGTATTGTGAAGCACTTTATGAATATGAAGAAAGAAGCCGGGAAGGATGAAAGGACGGCAGATTGGTACAGTCTTTTTGTTTTAGTTAGGTTGGTTCGTTGATTGGTAGGTTGGTACTTAGGTATGGTCGGGTTGTGTGGTTGTCAGGTTGTTTGGTTGGTAGGGTGTTTGGTTGGTTGGTTGTTTTAATTTGTTGAATGCTCGGTTCGTTTACAAACTTGTTTATATGTTAGCTTGCCAGGAAATCATTTTCAAATGTTATCATATGGTCAAAAATCCAAAATTCTCAATGTGTGTCCCTTTGCAAGTCATGAGTTTCAGCTTACCTGACTTAAAGAAAAACGGCGGGGTATCTTTAAGTCCATTACACAAAGTATAATCCAGCCACATCTCGACGTTATATCTTCCTGGCTCCATCACCAGAAATAACACTTCGTAGCTCCCATTGTTCAARTCAAAAACCGTCGGACCGATAGATGAAGGTCCACGAAGATGCACTCGCCAAGAATCGCCTCCAATCGATTTCCTTTCGTTTTCAGCCGTGAGTGATTGGATATGAAATCGACTGAAGCTCCCAGCCGGMCGAATATCCCACCAAGAGATATAACTAGTTTCTGCACTTGTTGCTTGACTGATATCAAAGTATTTCTSTCCCCAAATTGTGTGATTCTCACAAGGTTTCAGAACATTTTTCCAGTCAGTGCGCGCTTGTTGGACGCGACACCAATTCCTGGAAAATTGGACTTCTTTRGTCTGAGCATCTTCGTTTAACATTACTGATTTGGAAGGCTCTTTTTCATCGTGATTGACACTGAAATGTGAATAGCTTGATTTGCGATCCTTGAATGAAAGCGTTTTATTATTTTGTGCAAATTGTGCAAGAGTGTTGTCTTCTTGGCTGTCGCCATTCGTAGTTTCCTTGTGGTTTTTGTCGATGTTTATTGAAATTGAATGAAGCGCATGTTTAAGTTCTGGATTTCCTTCCACATCAACAACATCAGTAGTCTCTGCAGCACTTGTCTCCTTGTTGTTGAATTCGCTAAGGTGTTCAGAGGAAGCAATTCTAGCGCCTCTAGCAATAYCCTTTGTTTTCTCTACAACAGGTGTTTTTATTGAGATCATTTCATCGCTTTTCTGATCAATAATTCTTGAGCTAGCTACAAAAACCCATTCATCGAAACTGCTGCGTTTCCTAATGTCCCTTTTGTGTGCGACATCATCAACTTGCATCTTTTTTTTAATTCCCTCTGGTATTTGGCCACCCGCAGTGAAAGGTTTGTTCATGCGATCTGCTGATATTGATTTTTTACCGATTTCCATTGTTTTTGACGATCCATCGCTGGTTTTCGCATTGTTTAGTAAATACTTTCTCATTATGACAAAAACGACCAATGCTTGGCATCCCAATAGAAACCATAATATCCTTTTCAAACTAATCATTGTAATATATGTTTCAATAACTGTAATCAACTGTTTCAACGTTTAGAAAGACGTTGTATCGCAATACCATAGTTATAATTTATAGAACTATTACTACTAATATATAGTTATAATTTATAGAACTATTACTATGACAGATAATACCTATATGGATCAGTAATGAACAACTTGTCACAGATTTATGAATCTTGACTGATGTAAAAGATGGAACCAGTGTCATTTAGAACCATTAATTTGGTATCAAATGGCACCAGCTCGTCAAGGATCATTTGAGTAGGGTCAGTGTTTTACCCTGTAGGAAAGAACGGGTGATTTTGTCTACCAGTAACATGGGAGAGATATAGAAGAGTTAATAAGCTTACCAAACTATTTTATATGCGCCAAATATGTTCAGTGAATATTTTGTACTATCACAGTCAGATGTAAAGGGTAGTCTACTATGATACTAGCAGCCATGGCACTTTGCGGCATTGCGAAAGAAGGCATATTCCTAAAATCGGCCGAGTACCACTTCAGGTAAGATAAAAAGTGATCCAACGGATAATCTGCGCGGGCTTGTCTTCATGCGCTCAATATGGTCATGCCTTATGGGGCCTCTCGTCACTATACCATCGTGTTGAGTGACCAAACCGTAACCATMCACTTGTAGCAGGCGTTCCTTGCGAGTCCTTGATATGTTTTTAAAACTTAAAAGTTGAAAAGAGAAAATCTCTAGAGAAAAAACAACAACAGCAAAGGAAAAATATAAAAGAAAAAAAAAAGAAAGAAGAAAAGAAAGCAAGAAACAAAAGAAAAAGCCAAACAATAAACAAGCAAAAAAAGAGAAATTCCAGCAGCAGGATTCGAACTCAGAACTTTCAATTCAGGAGAAGATGTACCCCCCCGGACATACACAAGAAATAATGAAAATAAAAAGCCAAAAAGATGGGACGATTCCCCCGAGACATTCTATGAAGCTGAGGCGGCGAATCGGTTTACGTTACGGTTAGAGATTTCGGCCCTTCCACGCTATCCCGAGTGAACATAAAACTTAGTCTTAACCAAAAGGCCAGGGAGTGAGGGGGTAGCCGCCCACTAGAGCATACCTTTAGCTACCCTCTTAGACCATCGTACTATGAAGACACTTATAGATATCTAATATCTAATTGGGGTAGTCTATTCGGTGAAGTTCTATGCTAATATATGACGTCACCAAAATCCTTAGGGAGCAGCGAGCCAATCATAGCTCAGCTCACTGGGATAGTCTATTCGGTGAAGTTCTATGCTAATATTGACGTCCTCAAAATCCTTAGGGAGCAGCGAGCCAATCAGAGCTTAGCTCCAGGAAGTAGCAAAGGATACAAGGTTTGCATATAATCATTCTTCAGTGGATTTATTTTTTAATGGGGGGAGGGGATAGGTGCTGAGTGCTGGTTGGCGGCAGAATACCGATGTACTCGATGTAATGTGACGGCTTTCACCGAGCTGTTCAATTGTCGTTATTGTTTTCCAAATCATAACAGGAAAAGGTGTACAGTTATTATATCAGACAGACATCACTAGTATTCGGATAAATACCACGACAAAAATGTCTTGAAATTCTTATTAACGATTCTAATAACGTTTATATACCAGGCAGATACTAGCTGATGCCAAAGCTTTGCCGGGATTCAGCGGAGAACTGAGACCTCTGAAACTCCAAAACAACACTCGAACAAAGTTTACAAATGGATTAATATTGATTATCAAATAATTATTAAATCACAATTGAAGCGATGAATAAAATCCGTATAAAATTGATGAAGAAATGAAAAAAAACTTAGCAATCTTTTGGTCTTATTGCAAAACTATAATCAGGCGAATAAGAGTGATTATGTAAAAATACATTTTGAATACTATAAACATTTTATGGAAGCCAAACGTTCGAGAATTTATCGAGAGTTTATATCAACAAAGAAGACAGATGTCTTTGAATACAGCTAAATTAACGCGCTAAGGACTCGTGGATAAAAATCCCTTTTCCGAATCTGTCAGACGGACATGTTTACTGTAGGCAGGGAAACAGGACGCCCCACGTCAGGCCCCCACGGGAGGCGGGAATGAATGGAACCCCTGGACCTGAGTCAAATGAAACAGCAATAGTTACTAGACAGCGGATTATCACATGAATCAAAATGGCGGACACTGGCAACAATCGTTGATTACACTGACAACAAGAGTAAAACTTGCAAAACAATGTCTGAAAGGCGCCCTATCCCTCGAAAAAAGACTTCGAACTCTAGTATTTCATCACGAGCTTCCCATGATGGATATAGGAGGGAATCCATATCGAGAAATGAGCATTTGAACGAGTGCAAAGCTGCTTATCTTGCCGTTTTAAAAAGCACCAGTGAACCGATCACTTCGATGGATGAATTGTCATTAGGTCAGTGTCCTTGCCAATTTTTGTTTACAGGAATGCAGTTTTTGTTCAATCTTTTCATTTTGTCGTTGTTATTGCAACCAATGTTGATGATAACATATGTTTGTAGATACGTAAGCTTAATTAGCCTAAGTAAATAAGTTAAGCCTTAAATCCAAGATTTTAGCAATACATCGAT